GAACCTCAGCCTTCTCCAAATCATGTGTAGCTAGTTCAACTGAGAGCTTCCTGAGGGGACCTACATTCTCCCTAGTCTGTTTTTTATTTTATGTGTACCTGTAGAATCCCTTCCTGTTATCCTTAATATCCTTAGCCAAGTTTAATTCTAACTGGGCCTTAGCTTTCCTGACCTGGTTCCTAGCTTCCCGAACAACATCCCTGTACTCTTCCCAGCCCGCCTGCCCTTGCTTCCACTTTCTATAAAACTCTTTTTTCATTTGAATTTTTCTCAGGAGCTCCTTATCATGAGCTTCTTCATCAGCTTCTCTACAACAATCTTACAAGACAGTATTGAAAGACATAGTGACTTTAAGATAGTCACAGTATCACAGTATGTTAGAGATTGGAAGGGACCTCAAAAGATCATCTAGTCCAATCCCCCTGCCGGAGCAGGAACACCTAGATAAGGTTACACAGGAACGTGTCCAGGCGGGTTTTGAATGTCTCCAAAGAAGGAGATTCCACAACCTCCCTGGGCAGCCTGTTCCAGTGTTCCGTCACCCTCACTGAGAAGAAGTTTCTTCTCAGGTTTAAGTGGAACCTCTTGTGTTCCAATTTGTACCCATTACCCCTTGTCCTTTCATTGTTTGCCACTGAGAAGAGCCTGGCTGCATCCTCATGACACTCCCCCTTTATATATTTATATGCACTAATAAGGTCACCCCCCAATCTCCTCTTCTCCAAACTATAGAGACCCAGCTCCCTCAGTCTTTCCTCATAAGGGAGATGCTCCACTCCCTTAATCATCTTAGTTGCCCTGCGCTGGACTCTCTCCAGCAGGTCCCTGTCCTTTTTAAACTGGGGGGCCCAGAACTGGACACAATATTCCAGATGCGGTCTCACCAGGGCAGAGTAGAGGGGAAGGAGGACCTCTCTCGACCTACTAACCACCCCCCTTCTAATACAACCCAGGATGCCATTGGCCTTCTTGGCCACAAGGGCACAGTGTCGGCTCATGGTCACCCTGTCGTCCACCAGGACCCCCAGGTCCCTCTCCCCTACACTGCTCTCTAACAGGTCGTTCCCCAGCCTATACTGGAACCTGGGGTTGTTCCTGCCCAGATGCAGGACTCTACACTTTCCCTTGTTATATTTCATCAAGTTATTCCCCGCCCAGCTCTCCAGCCTGTCCAGGTCCCTCTGGATGGCAGCACAGCCTTCTGGCGTGTCGGCCACCCCTCCCAGCTTAGTGTCATCAGCAAACTTGCTGATAGTACACTCAATTCCCTCATCTAAATCGTTGATGAATAGATTAAATAATACTGGTCCCAGTACCGACCCTTGAGGCACTCCACTAGATAAAGGCCTCCAACTAGACTCCGCCCCATAGACTACAACTCTCTGGCTTCTCTCCTTCAGCCAGTTCACAGTCCACCTCACTACCCGATCATCCAGACCACACTTCCTCAATTTAGCCGCAAGGATGCTGTGGGAGACCGTCCTCTACTGCTCTCTCACCTCTTCTCCCAACCTAGTTATTTCATCATAAAATGTTATCAGGTTTGTGCTGATGACTCCAAATCACCTTCTTGTCCATCACATTCCCAGAAAATATACCCAGGATTAGTTGCTCCATCATCTTCCAGGGATTGAGGTGAGGCTGCATTGACTGTAGTTCCCTGGGTCCTCCTTCTTGCCTGTTCTGAAGATAGAAGTGATATTTGCTTTCTTCCAGTTCTCAGGATTTTTCCCAAGTGCCATGATTGTTCAAAGTTAATGTCTTCATGCTGACATTAACCAGATCCCTTAACACTCATGGGCACATGGGCACTCATGGGCCTACAGGGATGCTAGGGATGGACTCTTCCTTAGGGACTGTAGTGATAGGACAAGGGGTAATGGGTTAAAACTTAAGCAGGGGAAGTTTAGATTGGATATAAGGAGGAAATTCTTTCCTGTTAGGGTGGTGAGGCACTGGAATAGGTTGCCCAGGGAGGTTGTGAATGCTCCATCCCTGGCAGTGTTCAAGGCCAGGTTGGACGAGGCCTTGGGTAATATGGTTTAGAGCGAGGTGTCCCTGCCCATGGCAGCGGTGTTGGAACTTGGTGATCTTAAGGTCCTTTCCAACCCTAACTCTTCTATGATTCTATGAATTTTCATAGGGCAAATCTCACCCCACTGATGTCCCCTTTCTACCACCTGCAGCTTCTACAAGTGGAAGATCACAGTGGGATAGAAGCAGGAATGGGACTTGTGTCCTGGGTAATGCTCAGGAAATATGTTAATAACAATAGGGAGGGAAGAACTTTTACTTTCACTCTTTCATTGTGAGTACAACATTAATGAAAAAATTCTTAGCAGAGGATACAGCAAGGTCTTGTCTTCTGTGCATACATTTTTTACTAGTGAAGCAGGAATCCTTCAAACTGAGCACAGGCAGTGTGCCTCAGTCCTGACATACTGACAAATCTTAACATATATTAAATGCCCATCAGCTAAGCAGTATCTCGTTCCATGTAGCACATACACAGCAATTTATAGAGCAGAGCACTGTAGAAATCCTTTTGCCTTAGGTTTTTCTACATGCTCGTTGCAGTGATATGCATCTGACCAATTAAAGCAAAACAGCTTTAGGTAATTAACTCTAAGTGGCTGAGTGGTTCCCTGACTGAAAGTCACAGGAGCTGGTTTTGATATTATGAGTACCATTGATTAACTCTCAGATGCTGGACAATTCACTTCATCTTTCAATGCTTCATTTTTGCCCAGTGCAAAATACAGAGAAAAAAAAAAATAATCTGTTTTCATTGGTGAAGTGCTTTTGAGAGCTGTGAATGTAAAGATCTATGCGTCATCAGTGACTCCTCAAAAAGGCCTGATGAGAGACTTATGGAAATAGCACTGTTCTCATTGTGTTCTTGGAAAACTGAGCCACAGCCAAGTAAAGCAACAAAGGGCCAAAATCTCACTGAGAGGTGGCAGTGGGGACAGGATAAGAATTTAGAGTTGCCTAACACCTTGGCAGCCACTTGTTCCTCCAGACCAGGCTAGCAAGATGGCATCTTTCATTTTTTTGCCCATGGCATTAAATTCTCACCCCTCCACCTACTACATTACATATCTTCACTTCTGCATTGTTTTGTTTTATTTACCCTGGCCATCCTCCTTCTCAACAAATCAACACCACCAGCCACTTCCAACATCTGACAGCTTCTGCATTCTCTTTGCAGATATTCCTGCTCTCTGGGCTAAATTCACTATGCAGTGTCATATGACTATACACAACCTTCAGAATATTTTTTCACACTTCGACTGGGCTCAGGATCTTAAATAGTGTTGAGCTTTTGCCAAAAGCTTTGCCTCAAGAAAACTTGACACTGTCAAATTTTCTTTCATTCTATTCCTAATACTTTATTATTACTTAGTTTTATCCTTTCATTCTACCTAACTCCACATAGTTGGAAGTCCCAGAGTTAACACATATTAGTTCCTCTGTACCTCAGCCAGAGCAAGACAAATAATTCCCACCTGCTAATTGATTTGTTACAGCATATTTTAATAATTGAGGAATGAAAGTTAACAGAACTGAAATTCTCAGATTATTTCATATTTTAATAAATACCCTTTAAAAAGAATGTTCTTTGGACTTTCATGTCAATATTCCTACTTTTGGCAAAGAGTTTGGAGTAGGTAAATAAATCATTTCATTATTTCTGTTCTAAACTGATTGACACAAAACCATTGCTAGAACAAAATTTTCTCTGTGTAAACTAAGCAGTTCTGAAAAAAAATAAATATATTTCACTGTGAGCTAAAAACATCACTCGAACATTTACTACCTCTCTTTTTGACTAGTGCCTCAGCTCTCACTCCAGGTGGTAAAAGGACAGAGTAGGCTGTAGGGCAGCAGACTACTGAGGAAATCATCAGCTTTGACTATGTTTTGGCTAGAATTTGTTCTCAAATTAGAGATTTCCTTTATTCCTTTACCAGATCCAGTTTTTGTCTGCTGGCTTCAGGATGCTTATAAAGCTAAAGGAATTCTTGCTTTTACTTTGCCATGAGATTCTTCTGCTGGTAACTCACACATAGCCAGGTAGACTTCAGCTCAATGCATCTGATACTGCTGTCTTTGGAATAAAAAATGCAGAAAAGTGTGGTTTCCAGGGATTCATCACTATCATGAACATAGTATGTCAATCATTCTTCCAAGACAGAAGGAAAAAGCAGCAACACTTCTTTCCTGTACTGTTCCTACCCATTTTTAGTCCCTAAAATGTATTGCTTCTTCTCTGCAAAACCACCTCTTGCTTTATATCATTAAAAGCCACTTGAGTTGTATAACTGGAGAAACATAATGAACATTCAGGGATTGCTTTTGAAATTATCTCTTCTTGCACTTAATATGGTATAAAACATTAAATACCTCAAAGTTGTCAGCCATTACAGCTGTGTGAAACAGATGTCAGTAAAGTTAAGAATTAGTTCTTTCATATAGGTGAAAAATCTCTTGCTAACAACCCAAAATCTTGAATCACAGAATAATTGGAGCCTGAGTTATGGGTAGACAGCACAAACTTCCTCCCACACTGCTATCTCTCTCAGTAGTATATTTCAATCCCACCTACAGGAGTTGCAAAGTGAAACTTCTGACTCCTAGCCTGTCAAGTTTTTCTTTCTTTGTTAAGCCTCTTAAGAAGACTACCAAGTGTGATACCATTTTTCCTAAATGGGAAATTTTACTGAAAACAGCTGTTGTTGAAGAATGAATACTACAGAGATACGTAACGTATGACTTATAAGGGGGATGAACAGACCAAAAGATAAACTGAAAGATCCAGTGCAAATTTATCAGACACCACTAATGCCACACTGCATACTGTAATGGTGACAGTGTTACCTCAGTTCAAAGTCAAATCAGTGACCTGAGAGTAGAAGGTCTGAGAGCAGAAAAGAGTGAGAATACCCTGCTTTCTGCTCCCTGCCATCATCAGAGGACCAAACAACAATTGCATTTACCTGTAGATTAGGACTTCATCATCTGAGCAGTTATATTGCAGCTGATACATTTTTACCCGAGGGGCTGACTTGCTCACTGTCCACTTGACCAAAGCTGAGGTAGTGGTCACATCTGACACCAGAACAGCCCTTTCTGGTGGACCTTTTGTTTCCCCACGATTAGACTTGCTGGAGCTGGTGATGTCCGAGAGCCTGGATTTTGGTGGGGCTGCTCGGCCTGTGCTGTTGCTGAGATGGGGGAGCTGAACAATTGAGAGTTCAATTGTTGCAGTGGACTCTCCAGCAGCATTGGCTGCTATGCATGTGAAAGTCCCATAATCCTTAGAGGTGGTGATGAGGATATCTAAGGTGCCATTGTCATAGACAGCTGTCCTTGAAGAGTTCCCAATGAGGCGGTCATCAGGGGCCACCCAATGAATGATAGGGGTGGGATCCCCAATGGCTTTGCATTTCAGTGTGGCAGTCTGCCCTTCTAAAACCAGCAACTTGTGAGTATGTTGTGTAATAAGAGGAGGTTCACAAACAAACTCTTCCTCCCGTATGTACCAGAAGTACCTTCCTTTTAGACCTGGAGGAGAAGCACAAGTTTCCATATCATCATCTCTGTCAAGTCGCCTTAACCACAGTAGCTCACAGTTGCAATGCAGAGGGTTGCCCCCAAAGCTGAGAGACAAAGGTGGAGAAAATGGGGTAACAGCTAATGGAATTACTTGAGATCTGGCAAATATAGGGTCAGGGGGCAGTTTCTTAAGTCTGTTGGATGTTAGATCCAATCTGGCCAATTTCTGAAGATCTGCAAAAGTCCCTTCTGTAATATAATCAATCAGGTTATGATCTAAACTGAGCTGGTGCAAGTTTATCATCTTCCTTATAGATTCCCAGGGAATGTTTCGAAGGTTATTGTAGGAAAGATCTAAGTCTTCCAATGTCAGCAAAAAGTCTTCAAAGGCTTCATCAGAGATGCTGCTTAGCTGGTTGTTGTTTAAAATCAAATGCTGAAGGTTAATTAAGCCTCTCAAAATATCCTCTCCAATGTCAGGCAGCCTGTTGCTGTCCAGATGTAAAGACCGAAGGCTCTCCAAGTCAGTGAAAGAGTAGGGCTGTATGTAACTGATGGTGTTTCTTGACAAAGTAAGGTCAACCAGACCAGACATATTAGCAAAATCCTGTCGGCTGATATTAATAATAAAGTTGCCCCCAAGTCGGAGTTCAACAGTCCTTCGATCTATGTCTAGTGGTACAAATAAGAGACCTTTAGAGGGACACAAAGTCCCCAGTGACTCAGAAAGGTTCTGGCAGACACAATATTTGGGACAAGCATTGACCATAGCAGCCATTCCAAACACCAGGATGCTGCAGAGCAATTTTTCCATGGTAAATCACGCAACAGTACCTGCAAGAAATGAAAAGAGTTACAAGGAACATCAGCAATATGATAAAACTACCTTCCCTCTTCTGTTTTATCTAACATCTACCTCCAGAGAAACTTCAGAGTGCCTCCTCTCAGGAGTCATGACTCTGGGATGGGAAGAGCAATATGTTTCTCCAAATAATGCATTTCTTTCTAAAAAACAAAACAAAACAAAAAAGTGGGTTTGGTTCCAAATCTGAATGGGAAAGGAATTGTTAGTGTTTATGTCTGGTAACAGGGTCTCGTGACTACCTATTTTCTACTTACAGTTTTAGAATTCTTGTTGGGTGGATGGTAGGGGACAAATCCTGCTGTCAGATTGCACATCTTACTTAAAACCCTTAAAGATTTAATTTGGAATAATGCCTGCTTCTTTGACGGTAGAAGCTGTCTTATTATAATTACATACTGCTGCATAATAGCGTGGAATTAGTCTGAAGGTTGAAAGAGCTGATTTTATAGACAAAAATAACTGCATATTTACCTTTCAGTAATGTGGTTAGTAATGACCATGTAATTATCTGGCCAGTACTGGGGCAAGTCAGTTCACCCGCATCCCCATAATAAAATTCATGATAGGCAGCATAGGAAGCACAAACATTTGCATAATCACCTGGATTTACCCTATTCTCAACCAACCTACAGGAAGGATGACACCATTTAGCTCCAAAGAGAAGGGATGCAGGGGAAGCCTGTGTTACCTCAGGCTCCTGGCAAGCTTTCTGATGGCTTCATGCTCTTATGCTGCAACCCTTTCTGTTTGTTGTTCTGCCAATGAAGCTTTCACCTGTGTTCATGGCCCCGCCTTGTGTCCTGCCTATTTGTCTTTGCATATTTTCATCTCCCTTTTCAGCTTTCATGCTTATTCAGCTAAAGCTGTAAGATATGTGTCTTTGAAGAATAAACAAAATGTCTTTACAGGCTAACTCAGAGGGCCAATTGTGGCTGGGGGAAGTTGCAGCCCTGCTTCAGGTTTGGGAATACCTCACATAGGTTTGCTGACGTTCTTCCCACATGTGCAGGACATAGGTAAATTTATTTTCTTTTTTTTTTTCCCTTGCCTGAACCCTGCTACCAAGGAAGGCTGAGGAATGGGCAGATCACTTTCCTCTAACCCTCATTCTCTGTCTGAGGAAAGGAGCAGGTTGACAGCTATATTTCTGTGAAGGATCCAAGATGGTGTGCTCTAATCTCCAAGCCCCTTGCCTGTGGCAGTAGTTACAGGCACAATTCAGGCTACAGTTTCTAACGTTGACATTCTACCTCTATTTAACCCTCACCGTATAACCACTCTCCTCTATCTTGGGCAAATGCAGGTGCTCATATGTTTTTGGCACTTGTGTTTCAAGAACAGTAATGGCATAACAGGAGATGAGAATGAGATGGGACACCCTCATGCTTCATCAATTGCTTCTTCAATGCCTAAGCAGTGGATGGCAGTCACCTATGTCTAAGCTGGTTCTCTTACTGCTGTACACATGATAGGCTCATATACAGTGCCACATAATGACTTCAACAATCAGTACTATGAGGCCACTCAAACTTTAGCAAACATATGGTGCAAGAAACACATTTCACAAAGAAGTCACATTGCAATTATTTACACTTCATCACACAGCTAAAATGACAGTTACACAGATGCATTATAATAATTAAAAGAAATTATAAAAATTAGTTACTAATCTTCCAGTAACACACACCAAACACAAAACAAAATCTATCACTTCAGTAATTTTTTTTTCAAGTCTTTAAACAGGTCTTGTTGCAGCTCCCCGTGAAAGGAACAAAACCTAAGCCTCTGTATTTGGGGCTCTGCCCAAGTGTGGATGATTCCTTTCCTGGGTAAGGTGGTTTGGCTTCTCTTCTATAGAATATATTATATGACTCAAACAAGAAGCTGTAAAAATGCAAGATGTTGTAAATGCTGAACTATGCACAGTGTGTTCTTTATGGTAAGGTTTTCTATATGGTGTGATGTTAGTAATTATGTACTGTTGCTAGTATTTCATAGGAGAGGAAAGGACTGAAGCATCTGTGTTTGCTGAACTCCGCAAGCAAGATGAAAGTGAGATACTTTTAAAAAGACAGCTTGAGAAGAGTAATCTCACCTTCAATAGCAAATAAAAGGCTACTGAGTAAAACGTTTGGAGATTATCAAGTATGTTATTGATGCAAAACTGTGGCATCCTTAGCAAAGAGCTATAAATATCCATTACGTTATTATCAGTTGGTAGTTTACTAACAGGCAATTGGCTTTTTGAAACTTAATTATAATTGTCTTCTGCAGCTTTAATTTAATTTATTACCTTACCAGTTGAAATGATAAACAAAAAACAGTTTAAAAGGGGGAGAAATAGATACAGTTAATTAGTAATACGCCCTTTCATAACTTCTCCCTTATCTACATTCCCATCCTCTGAATGTCTATTCAAAAATTTGAATACACACTTATGAGAGCAGTGTCTCCTTTAAGTGTCCCAGTTCTCTAACCACATTTTTTCCGGATGCTGTTAAATATCACAGTGCTTTGGGGGGATGGTTGACTCTAAGCATCAGAGTAAAAAGAGTTTGTAAAAAAAAGGGGGGAGGAACAGAAGTTAATTACAGAAAATAGGGACTGCAACACCAAAGGAGGCTGTGAAGCAGGTCTAAATGGCAAAACAAACTGACGTGGAAACCAGTTGTGGATGGCATGAGAGCACATCACCTGTCTTTGAGTGCTTGCCTATGTGCGTGAGAGAGAGCAATATGCATTTTTTACCCGAAGGAGGACAAATCAGTAACAACCACACTAGAATGGAAATACCATGGGTGCTGTCATTCCAGTTACTGAATGCGTTTGAAAGTATTAATGCAAGTATTGTTTGTCTACAGAGGACGTTTCTAGACTTTGTGATCTTTTGCTGACATTGGTATTTAAAGTTTCTGAGCATTGGGTTTCTTTAAAATGTGATCCTGAAGTGAACAGTTCACAACACACCAAGTAGCGTACAAACACAAAGCGCTACCTATTGGAAGTTGGAGAGAACAGAGGAGGACTGGGCTCCTGAAGAAGAACATCTGGGGTTTTAGTAGGGCAGCTGGTTTTCCTTTTTTTCTCCAGACAGACAAAGCACCTGGGCCATAGGTGAGGTAAGAATTCTTCACAGTTATAGTAATACCTTCTAAAATCCAGGGTCTCCTACAAAGCCATGAGAGTTGCTTGTTGCCAAGAGGATGGATATAAAATAAGAATTGTTTTGATTTCAGTTCTGGTAACTTTCATACAAGACAGAAAATAAAGTGTCAAGTTTAGGGTCTGGTTTTGCTGACCAGTTTGCTCACCTTGTTCCCAAAATCTCTTGTGACCTGCAATACCAAGCATTTTATGGGCTGCAAGAGGTAGCCTTGTGATAAGCTCACAGCCTGCCTGGACAAGTTCCTGTGTGAGGTACTCTAGGTTACCCTGCTCTTGCAGTGCGGTTGGACTAGATGGTCTTTTGAGGTCCCTTCCAACCCTTGGGATTCTGTGATTCTGATTCACATTTTAAAGGTATGTATCTATAAATAGATTTCTCACTGCAAGTCAGTAAATCTGGCAGAGTTCCTATGTCAGACCAAGATGAAAGATAGCCCCTTTAGTCCTCTTATAACATAGAATGCTATGAATTAATATGTGCGAAAGTCCTAAACCTTGGTGCTTTGTATTCAAATGTTCCTCATAAAGATACAACTTCTGTGATTTGGTATCTCATTGCATCAATGTCTCTGAGGCCTTTCTAAGTCTATATTCATTGAGCTTTGCATATAAATTCCAATAAACTTTGCATACCAAAGCACCAAGTACAAGGTAATTGTCAGACAAATAAGCTATAGCTGCAGCATACAGTCTGGGGAAAATAAAAGACACACACACACAAATTTAAGAGGTGAATAGTGGCTCTGATTCTACTGTCTCTAAGTGCTCTGGGATCCAACTTCTCAGGCCCGAGTTCAGTTTTGTAGGTACTGTAGAAGAATTGGGTTTTCTTTCCTGGAAGCTGCCTTTTTCCTTTTACTTAACCTTCTCTTACGTCCGTTTTCAATGAAACCTCCATGACTGGGAAATCTAGCCCCCAGCTACAAAACTTAGAGGACTGCGGGGATGGGTGAAGTGCTGTGCATATTCTCTGAAAGAGTTTAATCTTTAATGGGCAAATGGGATGGGACAAAAATTGTTCCTTAATCCTCTGTATTATCAAAAATTCTGTGGGAAAGTTTCATGTTCTCTGGCATAAACTACCTAATCCATGCAGTTAGCTTATGCGTAACTCAGCAAGCAATGACAATAGCATAAGGAAAATAAACATCTCAGCTTCTGAATATGCTCTCAGTACTACATTGAAATATGGGTTGGGTGTTAAACCACTGCTAGTCCTGTGAACATCTGGGAGACTGTTCAGGTGTTTAAATAGTTACATATCTGTGCTTCCAGGCTCAAATTCATGGTAACCGACACTACTTTTGTTTAGCCTTTGCCTTTTGTGTTCGCCCAGGCTTCTTCACTCCTTGGGGGGGTAAAGCTGCTTGTCATCAGGTGTGCATATATATAGTGCAACTTAGATTTTGTCTAGGCCTTTTTAGGAGCTAGTTGTGTTGAAAGCAATACTCTAACATGCAAAATGCTTGCTTTATCCAGCCACTTTACATTTTATAAATAATAGAGGGGGAATATTTAGCACACATTTCTCCAGGTATCTGTGGCTCTCTTTACTAAGCTCCACTCATATTAATTTGATTGATATTACTTGCATAGTAACAGAAAAGAAAAAAAAAAAAAAGGAACTCTAGGTGAATTGAAGTGCCCTTTGTACAACTTTTTTTTGAATACTGCATCCACAGCAAGGTTGCAACCCAAAACAATGTTACTACCCCTGTACCATCATGAAGATCATCCAAATGCTGTTCCGTTTTTGCATTTCCAGGAAGTTAGGGGTTTGTCTCATCTGCTTTGTGCTGCTCAG